ATGGCCAGGCGCGGGCGACGTAATCCGCGGCCGCCACGCCTCCACGCGGGGAATCCTCCTCGAACGGCTTGCGCATGCAGCCAACCGCGAGGCGCGACCCGCACACGCGCCCGACAGGCTCATCTGGCACAGGATCTTCTGCGGCAAATGACGGTGCGGTGCCGAATGAGCTAACCACACCCGTGGCCACTGGATCCGGTGTGGCATCTCCCGATTCCTCTCCAGGATCTTCTGCGACCAGCAATGCCGTGCGCTAGCGTGTACAGCAGCCTCCACCAACCACATCAAGAATTACAACTCGACTACAAAAAGGTATTAAAAATCCAAAAATAAGAACTGATGGCACTATTCCGTATGGCATGTTGTGCATTTCAGGCGAGCCAACAAAATTGGATGACGCACTTGGAGATCAGAAGTGGAAAAACGCTATGGATGAGGAATATACAGCCTTAATGAGAAACAAAACATGGCACTTGGTGCCAAACCAGAAAGGTAAAAACATTATTGACTGTAAATGGGTCTATAGGATCAAGAAAAAGGCCGATGGCTCCATTGACAGGTATAAAGCACGTCTCGTTGCTAAAGGTTTTAAGCAGCGTTATGGTATTGATTATGAGGATACATTTAGCCCTGTGGTAAAAGCTGCAACCATCAGACTTGTGCTAGCTATTGCTGTGTCTAGGGGATGGAGCCTAAGGCAGCTAGACGTACATAACGCGTTTTTGCATGGTGTTCTGGAAGAGGAGGTCTACATGAGGCAACCACCAGGTTATGAAAACAAACAAAAACCTCATTATGTATGCAAACTTGACAAAGCTCTTTATGGTTTGAAACAAGCACCTAGAGCATGGTACTCCAGGTTAAGTATGCAGTTAAAACGTCTTGGCTTTATTGCATCAAAAGCTGACACATCTCTCTTCATATACAATAAGGCAAACATTGTTATCTTTGTGCTCATATATGTTGACGATATTATAGTTGCAAGCTCCTCTCAGAATGCTACAGATGCCCTTTTGCATGATCTAAGCTCAGAGTTTGCTTTAAAGGATCTTGGTGATTTGAGCTTCTTTTTAGGCATTGAAGTTAAAAAGGTTCAGGATGGTATAGTATTGAAACAAGAAAAATATGCCACTGAACTCTTGGCTCGGATGGGAATGAAGGATTGCAAGGCATCACCCACACCATTATCTTCATCAGAACAATTGTCAGCATACGAAGGGGAGCTACTTAAGGAGGAAGAAAGCACCAAATACAGAAGTGCTGTTGGAGCCTTGCAATACTTAACCTTGACACGACCAGATATTTCTTTTGCTGTTAACAAAGTATGTCAATACCTACATGCTCCCACTTCTGCTCATTGAACATCTGTTAAGAGGATCATTCCGTATCTCAAACACACTGTAGGTTTGGGACTTCATTTTAGACGGTCCAACTCTACACTTGTTAGTGCTTTCTTTGATGCAGACTGGGCAGGTTGCAGCGATGATAGAAAATCAACAGGTGGTTTTGCTGTTTTCTTCGATTCTAATCTTATTTCTTGGAGTTCCAGGAAACAAGCAACAGTCTCAAGGTCAAGTACTGAGGCCGAGTACAAATCATTGGCGAATGCTACTGCTGAAATTATTTGGCTTGAATCTTTGCTTGAAGAATTGGGTGTGAAGCAACATCGTATTTCATGCCTATGGTGTGATAATTTGGGTGCCACTTATTTAAGTGCTAATCCTGTCTTTCATGCCAGAACCAAGCATATTGAGATAGACTTTCACTTTGTACGAGAAAGGGTTGCAGAAAAGAAGCTGGAGATCTGCTTCATTCCTTCCAGAGATCAAGTGGCCGACAGATTCACCAAAGCTCTGCCGTACAAGCCATTTGAAGCATTCAAGAACAATCTTAATTTAGGATAGGTAGTTCAGATTAAGGGAGGGTGTTAGACTTAGAGATATTCACGCCATGTAATCTCAACTACCATCTCTATATTTCCTCTCCCGTTTAATCTCCTATCTCTATCTCGCTGATCCTTGCGATCAGTGGGCTTCTTGTACGCCAAGGCAGAGGCTGTTTCTGCCTACAATCAATATATACCCGCGGCTCCTCTACGGAGGAGTAGGAACGCTTCCATCGATCCAATCTAACATGCGGAAACGTTGAATTCAACGTAATACGTCTGCCTCGTACGTACTAGTACGAATGATAGGCCCGCTACAGTTAATGGCTATCTGCACCCATAGAGTCCACGGCCTCAACCTCTCGTCTATGTATGTCTTGATTCCCATGGAGTACTCTTCTTTCTTTCCTTCACGAGCATTTAACCATTTCATGAACGTATATTACTCTCGTTAACCAGCAAGATCTATATGGCCCGTGGGCCCATAAGTCAGTGAGGATCGTCCTTTTCCCAGTGCGCCAAACGAGCAATTAACAGAAATCAATTGGGATAGACCGGGATTAGACAGTGCAAGGTGCCAGTTTTAGGGATTTTGAGGTCGAGGTTTGGTTCAGAATTAGAGCATGAATTCCAGGTTTATTTTAGACTTTTCCCTTTTTCTTTTGACGCGGTAGCGGGGTGGTTGCAGGTTGGGTTTTGTCTTTGATGGTGGAAAGGAGACGCCGGGTAGAAAACTACAGGGAGAAGGACGCGTGTCGTGTGCTGCAATTGGAGCATTGCGGTGAGTGGTACTGCTTTCTTTTGTAGTGTGACTGGGTAAGCACCGTGTCGTGCGCGGCAAGAGCGTCTGTCATTGTGTGTGAAGGAAGCACGAAAATATGGACTTGGAACGATCTGGTCGGATTCGACGTAGTCAGATCCGAGTCGAGATAAGGTCCAAGTCGGACAGACCCAACTATGAGACGCAATGATATGTCATCTGTGAGTCTCTAGTACAACATATGTTCTATGTCCTAAGACCTGAGCTGACGCATGTACTCGGGATGGTGACAGATTTGCTTTGGGCCGACCAAATGCTACTCCGTGACTAGGTAGTTACAAAGGTAGGTTTCAGACTTGTCCAGACCTATGCTGCGAGACATGGTCGAGCAAGATGTGATTTGCCCCTCCGACCAGGAGAGATATACTCTGGGCCCCTCGTGTGATCCGACCAGGATAAGCATGGCCATGCGACAAGGATTATGAGATAATCCGGTTTGTGGTCGGTATCACTGGAATGAGAAAGAGGTCGGGCTAGCACAAGGATGACAGACTCGCCTTGAGCTCGACAACATATATCGTGTGGCAAAAGGAATGGAAGTGTAATGTACAAGTTCGCTAACCAGCTTCATAGTCTGCTTGGTGTTCGACATGCCTTACTAGAGGCCGCTATCAACCGTGCAGTTTGGAGTTGATCCGAACTGCGACCAAGCCGACTTGAACCTAAGGGGTCGCGCGCTTAAGGGAAGGAACCTACGAGGTCGGATCCGAGGACACTGGTCGGATGTGATCCGAACTGTATTCGGATTATGGCCGAGTAGACTTATAAGTTTTAGGGTCCATGCGAGGCCCAAGTGTTGAGCCCGCGACGGACGCCTATATATATAGTGGAGGTGCCGCACACTCACGCAGCTAATCGCTTCGGTGCTGTCACTAGGGTTTGCATGTGTTGCGAATAGACACCTCCACTCACCGCCGGTTGTGTGATCGGACCTAGCAGTCCGCCGCACGACGTTCCTCCTGCACGCACGGATACCGTTAGAGGCGGTGCACTTGCGCCGCTCCGGCGAACCTGTACGTGGGAACTGACCACCGGTTGTACGAGGGAGATCGGATGAGGAGGAGACGATCCACGCAGACGCGCTGCCCCAACTCTTCTTCCGCTGCACGACACTGCGCGTCTAGTGGTAACGAACTGTGATCCATCTCCCGTAGCATGTTCTTGGTTGTTCTGCGCGTAGGAAATTTTAATTTGCAGTCGATGCACCCTACCGTAGATCCCAACAATTTTGGGACAGCTGGTGCATAGTACAGCAATGGTCGGAAATTTGAGGTTCAAATTCCTTAGGGCTATCATGTTCCTCACTTGTAGGCAATCCGCACTGGCGAATTCCTAATTCCTCAGTCAGAACAAATTCCTCAGAGACCAGAAGATCTTCGTCTCTGTCACTGAAGAAATTGACTGAACTGTATGAGATTTCCAATGGCTTCACTCAAAAGGATTGGTAGGTGTAGGATTTTGAGATGAGCATCACTTAAAAACTTTTCCTTAGTTTTACCTCGACCCCTTTTAATAGTACTGTGTTTCCTATGACTCAAGAAAGAGAAAAACGAAATTACGAAAACAAAAGTCTTCAAGCTTCATATTCCTCGCATGAATATCAAGTCTTCAGGATCACACCAATTTCTTCACTTTCGAAGTCTTCAGAAAGCCAAAGTCTTCAGTTGAAGACATTCATTTTTAGGGGTCGACTTTCTCTGTAAATTTTAAAACTCCTCATAGATTTATAGACCTGTGTACACTCAAAAACCCATTAGTCCCTTAACCTATAAGTCTTCAATACACCAAAATCACTAAGAGGCACTAGATGCACTTACATATACACACGCTTCATACGTGGTTTATGCTACACCGAATGAAGTATCAACCGTTGTTCAAGGAGATGTGTATGCGGCTGGAGCGGGTGGCCAAGAAGATTTTCACCCAACATGGGTGGCTGCATAATTTCTAGATTAATCCACCACCCCCTTAGACATAGCCATAGTGTTGGTCTTTTACGGCTTTACTAGTGTAAATATGTTTTTTTTCTTGTATTAGACTGCCTGTGATTGGTTGTGTGCATCCTAACTATGCAGAGGTCCGGTGTTACTCTGCTATATTTTGAGTTAATAAAAGTGTCCAAAGAAAAGTAAAAGACCTCCCCTGGCATACTCGGGTCACATGATGTGCAAAGGGAGATTCAAGTCATAGGTGATTACAAGCGCTTATAGAAATATCAAGAGGAGAATAAATAAGAATGGTAAATTACAAGCCTTCATCTTCCCCACACAAAAAAGAAAAGAAAAATACAAGCCTTCATCTTCCTTCTTGTAGAACCGTCACCGAAGACTTGCCAGATACAGTGCTATTCGACGGAGTGCACGACATTATGCAGGAATAGAACCCTTCATTCTGCATCATTGCTATCATGCTATAACTCACATATGTTGGAGGCATGTCAGGAATTGACTCTCCACGGTCCAGGTATTGCATGACCTTTCGCATGCTAGGCCTTGCACTGGGTGATGGGTATGAGCATAATAAACCTAGTTTGAGCACGAGAGTGACTTCCTCTATGTTGAAATTCCCCATGAGTCGAGGATCTACTGTGTCGAGAATTGAGACATTGCGGTGGTGTTCAAGCACCCAATCGACCAACACTATCTCTGTGTTGTTCTTGCTGCTACTAATTGGCCTACACCCACAGGCGACCTCTAGGAGAAACACGCCAAATGCAAACACATCTGTTAAGGGCGTTGCCTTTCCGGTGCGTATAATTTCTGCTGCAAGATATCCCATGGTGCCCACCACATGTGTTGTTTTAGCAACTGTGCCATGGTCATATAACCTTGCTAGACCAAAATCACCAAGTCGTCCATTCATTTGTCTGTCCAGGAGCACATTGCTTGCTTTTATATCTCGATGTATGACGATTTTCTCCCATTCCTCATGAAGATACAACAAGCTTGATGCAACACCTTTGATGATCTGATACCTCTCGGCCCAATGTAGAGTTGGCTTGTTTTCGTTGTACAAGTACTTGTCAAGACTGCCATTTTCCATGTAGTCATATACCAAGAGAAGTTCACCCTTTCGCCGGCAATAGCCTAGCAACTGCGCAAGATTTCAGTGGCGGAGACGGCCAATGCTCACCACCTCCGCAATGAACTCCCTTACTCCTTGTTTCGAATCATGTGACACTCTCTTCACGGCAACCTCTAAATTGGACACAGAAAGAACTCCCCTATACACTCTTCCGAATCCTCCTACGCCAAGCAAATTCCTATCAGAGAACCCCTCCGTGGCGTGAAATAAATCCTTGTATGTGAACCGATATGGGCCGAACTCTTCCTCCCAATACTCTCGCACCTCAGTGAATCGACGCCTATGCCACAAGAAGAAGAAGACGGCAGCTAGCACTACAATCACAAGGGATGTGGTGACTAGTGGCAGCACGGCATCCAATATCTTGGGCCGAGGCTTGGGTCCCAGGCGTGGCAAGGAGGGAAGCTTGGAGAAGTCTAGCGGCGGGGCAGGTCCGTCCAAGCTGAAGCTCCATCCAAGGACGTAGTGGCGCGTGCCTATGCTGAGACCTGCAGAAGCCGAGAAGCCGACGTACATCTTGTCCGTCGTGACCGCGGAGAGATCGATGACCTCGGAGAGCAGAGGATTTCTAGGCTTTCGTACCTGGATGGGTGATAATGTCACGTTTAATCGCCTGGCCTGGGCGTTGTAGTCCACCCACACCTGCATCGGTTGGCGGCTGTTTAGCCTCAGGTCTTGAAAGACGCCGTTCTCGTCGCTGTAGTACCCAGCCGGCTTGGCTTGCCGTGAGATGAGGCTGTTGATGTTGATGCCGACGTGGTTGCTGTTGATGTCGCGAAACGCAGCGTCCATGATGGTGTCGAGCTCGACCGCCAAGATCCGGTCGCTCGCCGTGCCGTTTGTCGCGTTGAGGAGGCCCAGGTACCGCCCGCCGTTTGCTGCTGAGAGGTTCGAGGTCGGCGCGACCACGAACGCAAGCCCATAGCTGGTCAGGCCATCGTACCTGAACGAAATGGCAAACACGAAGGTCGCGGAGAAGGACCGCGCCATGGCGGTGCTGTTCGTCGTCGTCGTCGTCGTGGTGGAACTTTTGAGGAAGCGGAGTGGTGCAGGGTGGAAGGCATGGCCTGTTGTCTTGTACTCCGTGACCGGATCGGTGAGCAACAGGAGGCCGTTGGGCATGACGGTGGCGAGGCCATCCAGCGTGAGGTTCGCGGTGACGAAACCTTGGTAGGCGAACTGGCCGTCTTCCGCCGCCAGGGCCACCTCTCCGTCGAGGCTCAACAGCAGGAGCAGACCCAGGGCTAGCACAGACCGAGAATGCATTGCTCCTTGCCACACTTGCAAGGAGCGGACCAAGGTTTTTCTTTTGACGCTGTAGAGGGGTAGTTGCAGGTTGGGTTTTCTCTTTGATGGTGAATAGGCCGGGTAGAAAACTACAGGGAGAAGGACGTGTGTCGTGTGCTGCAATTGGAGCCTTGCGGTGAGGGGTACTGCTTTCTTTCGTAGTGTGACTGGGTAAGCACCGTGTCGCGCGCGGCAAGAGCGTCTGTCGTTGCGCGTGGAAGGAAGCACGAAAATAATGAGGTCTCTCTTTCACCTTTCCAAAGAATCTATGGACTCCTTCCTCCTGGCAGTCTGACAGCTAATATTTATGGAAATGTTAACGCCCACACGTGTGGGCGTTGACCATCTCGACCACACGCATCCATCATCGTCCAGTACTATATGCACGAATCTTGACACAATCTGGCTGATTTTCTGTGTCACGTAGGACAAGACGTGTGTGTGGTGCGTGACATAGTTCGCCCACATATCCGTTTTACCACATGGAGGGACCGGTGTGTGGGCGTTTAACAGTTCACCCACACACCAGTTTTCACACACAAGGGCTAGTGTGTGGGCATTTGCCATCTCGCCCACACGCCCGTCTCCTCTCCCACACGTAAGCTGCTAGTTGCCATGTGTTTTTATAGCTCACATGGCAACTGCCTCTAGTGTGCTTTATAAGTAGGTGACAACTTTCTTTTTTTACCCGAGTTGCCATGTGTTTTTGCAGGATACACGGCAATTGCCTAGTGTGCACGTAAGCAGATGGCAACTGTCTTTTTACCGAGTTGCCATGTGTTTTTGCATGGTACATGGCAACTGCCCCAACGTGCACGTACATGACAACTGTCCTAAAGTGCACGTAAGCAGATGACAACTCTTCCTTTTTACATGGCAACTGCCCTAGCATGCTTGTGAGCACATGACAACTCTCTCAACTGCCTAGTGTTAGTATGTGGCAACTCCTAAAGTTATAAAATCATGACAACTACATTAGATCAGACCATACATGACAACTGCAGTTGAGCAACCATGGCAACTGCAGTTGTCCGACATGACAACCGTAGTTCAGCGACATGGCAACTGCAGATAAACGAACATGGACGAGGGTCTGGACCATGGCAACTGCGGGCGCGCGGTGGGCGTCACGCGTCGCGTGTGGAACTAGAAGGGTACGAGGCCTAACATACGGGCGTGTGGGCGTTATCAACTTCGCCCACACGCACGCGTGTGAGAGGGTTCAGGAGGAAAAAAAGATGTGTGTGGGCATTAGTTGTTTTGCTCACACGTAGGTGTGTGGGCTGGTTGCTGTTCATGCCACACGAGGCGTGTGGCACAACTACCCGATACACCACACGTGTGGCAGTTATCGGGATCCAATATTTACTTCTCCCTTGAAATAGACTTTCGTCGGACGCCGCTGTTCTATTCTCGAGCTCATGTGAGTCCGGGTGAACAGTAAAATTAAAAAAAATCAAATAATTCTAATTTTTTATGTGAAACGTTGAGAAAATGTGTGTTTGCTTGCAAAATTTCATCACCATATGACATTCATGAAAACCGTGGCAAAAACGCATTTTGGAGCATCAATTTTTTGCCACATTTTTCAAGAATGTCATTTCATGATGAAATTTTGCAAGCTATGAAAACATTGTTTCATACAAAAAAAATCAGATTTTTTTATTTTATTGTTCACCCGAGCTCACATGAGCTCGGGCTTAGAACGACACTACCTATTTTATCCTTACTTCTATATACTTACTTCATCAACTATGTAATTGCCTGTGCGTTGTGACGAGGATAATACATATTTTAATGGTTCAGCACTAATCAGGTTTAACTAGATCGTTGATGGCGCGCGTTGCCGCGCCCGTCTATTTTGGCTCTTATAATTGTTTGATATATGAAATATTTCTTATACATGTTTTCAGTGTTTTGAGCTCTTGTAATTTTTAGGCATATGAAGTGTGTTGGCTCCATATACATTTGTTTCAAGTTCTTTGAACTATTGCGCTTTCTTGCAGCTTTTGCTTGTCCACTCCATTTTCCAAAAAATGGCATGCAACTGAAGAGAGGAATCTGATTGGTTTCCAATGTACTGTGTTCAGCTATTTCTTCATAGGTCTACTCTGTCGCAAAAGATCACATCATGACATTCCAAAAAATAGCAATATTCAGAAAAAAAAACACCAGGGATGTTTGACGAATGGGTAGAACTGATATATGTACTCATATAAATGTTTTTCTTAATTTTCTCGATATTATAGTTCAACAGAAGAGAATACACCAAAACTGTAAACAACAAAACATACAATTAGAGATCCGATTAAACCACAAATATTTACGAAGCCAAAAATCTGAGAATATACAAATTCAGAAAATATCATTTCTTCCAAGATTCATATGAGGTTGCACTTGGGTATGCAAAGTTCCCTAAACTGTTGTTTCCAAAGCAATATTCAACTATCAGTTGGCTTTAGCTCAAACGATACAGAGAAAAAAAATACTTAACACCTTTTCATCTCTTGGAACAATCAATATCAATACTTCCAGATCCATGAAGCTGCAAATGCAACAGAGAAAAAATGAAAGACTAAATCTAAAAAGAAAGAGGATATCATCGAAGAAAGAATCAAGGCAAGGCAATACAAGTTCCATGGGAGGTCAAAATATTAAAATACAGAGGATAGATCATCAAGGAAGGAATCAAAGGTGAAGGCAATACAAGTTCCATGAGAGGTCACAATATTACAATACAACCACACTTACAATGAACTTTGTGCTAGAACTGATATTCACAATGTTGAAAGGGCAGAAATAAAATTACGTCATGACAACATACTGCTTTTAGGTCTGTGATTCCTGCAGCACATGGGCCGGTTTCTGCATTTTCATTAGCTTTGCTCTTCTCCTTTCACAAAAAGTAACAACTATTCACCAAGTAATACTACTACAAAGAAGCCGAATTGTAAAATAGAGGTCTTATAATCATCATCCGATGACTTCTGAGCAGATTAAAATGGCACGGATAAAACGACAACTATACCAAAAATTCAACATGCAGCAGCTGCGCACACCATCTCTTCATCGGCTGATCCTCGCCCTGAAACCTTGTAAACCTGCGACCGACAAGATGAACGGGATAAAGGGCGAATTACAAAAGGCATCAGGGGTCAGAGATAAAGGAAGGTGAAGAGCTAGCATTAAGGTTTACCTGTCGACTTAGACCAACCACTAATACTGCCGCTGCCGCATCGTCTTGCGCCGGTGAGCCACGTACGCCGCCCCTTCCTTATCCTCCTCCGCATCGTCAAGCCGCTGATTCTGCTGCCTCATCCTCCTCATCAGTTGTCGTGCTTTCACCATGGCTGTATTGAGCTATGGCGCCTGAATCACACAGGAACAACAGAAATTAGCACATACGCAGTCCATGAAAGCAGGAAAGATGCAAAGAGCAGAGAATAAATAGCATGAAGTAGAAGCGCCGAGGAGGTGAACCAGTCAGTTTATGTACGCCATCACCCTCCATGAATGCGCGCTTAGAAACTGAAGGGAGCAGTTTCCGGTAGATGAAGCGTCGACCATTATCGCCAGCACGCCTACCTTCGTCGTAGGCGGATCGATCGGCTTCCCATTCACCCGCATCCCGCGCTTAGAGCATCTCCATCAGCCGCTGAATGCACCATACGCCAAAAATCTATTTTGCCACGCGTTCATCGTCTGGTTTGGCGCGGCGGGTAGCGCTGGCTCCAGCAGCCGCGCTAAAATGCAGCGCGCGGGCGCAGCTCCAGCAGCGCGTAAAAATGCAGCGCGCGCAACTCTTCCACGAACAACATATGCATTCCAAAACAGAAGAAAAAGATCAAACACAAACAAAATAAATAGTTCAATTTTGTTATTACAATTCAAACAAAAAGTTTATCGTTCAATACAACAAATAGTGCAATAAACACAACAAATAGTTCAACAATACAATATCGAACGCACAAATCATGATGCTCTTTGTCGTCCATTTCATGCCCATCACTCCTCAATGAGATTCTTCTGAAAATCATCATGCGCTGCGGGATGTCGAATGACATTATAAGAGGCAACAAAACGGGCTACCTTTTCAGCCCTCCGTCGCACTCGCACGGGATGTCCCAAGAGCTCATACTGAGAGTAGTCTACATCTTGGCCACGCTCATTCTCGATGATCATGTTATGCATGATCATACAAGCGTGCATGATCAGACCCGAGCCCATGGGGGTGCAACCTGTGCGCCCGCACAGGGCCCATAATTTTGAGGGGCCCTAGATTTTTTTGCATGCAGTATAGCTACTAGGCTCAGCCCAATTGGTTGAAACGCTCCTTCATAGATGGGCCTCTGCTCTCTGGGCCGCTGTGCGCCTGGCGCACTAAAGCAGGCGGCCGATCCAGTACATCGTGCGTCTCCTCGCCTCCAATCCTCCAGCGATCGAGACAAGCAAGGAGCGACTCGTCTCTTCGTTTCTTCCTCCGGCGGCTATCGATGAAGATTAGGTCAGGATTCTTCTGTCCAGCGAAGGATCGAGACGAGGGAGCACGACTGGTCCAGGAAGGCAGGACCCGCCAGCGAGGGACCGAGACGATGGATTCTTCTCAAATTTTGTCCGCCGGCAGGTAAAGTTTATTCATGTTCAACCATCTCCAATTTCTTAAGCATCGTCGTTAGAAGATAACCGGCAATCCTGTGAGGCTTTAACTGTGCATTCTGATTTCCACCTACTACCTATTTTACTCAAATCTAGCTTTTTCTTTTTTCCATCTATTAGGCATTGGTATTGCAAGATCCAGGTTAAGTCTTCACTTATAAAACTTGAATAAGATTACCAAAAGTGTAATAAGAAACAATTTTTTTGAGGGTTTAACTTAGAAAACATGTATTTGAGAAGATTGATTATGAGGATATTATTGAAGATTTTATTACAAAGAACACTGAAACACTGGTGTTGTTTAAGTGAAGTCTATACAACCA